TTGTGCGCCATCTTGGGGAGGGAGGGGGAGAAAAATTTTAAACTCAAAAGCTTATGGAAGTAATTGCTGATAAATCAAAATAAATTAATAAAAATTTTAAAAAAAAAAAAGAAATTCTGTTGTCAAAAGCTCCAAGTTTGGCCTCCATTTTAACAGTTCAGATACAGATGTAATGCATATGCCAGACCAAGAGAAAAGGAAGGCATTATATAATGGCTGGGAACCACTCAAGGCTGCAATGACTCATAAGGTCATAGATGGTCTCTCAGGTATCTTCTACCTCTGAATCTATGACTTAATGACTTAACCGCTGAGGGCCTCAGGCAACTCTCTAAGTTGAAGAAAAGATGTCAAACTGAACTGGTATAGGAAGTTCCCTATACCAATAAATACAGGTTCAATCAAAAAAAAATGCTTTTGAAACTTTCAGGAGCCAAGTTGTTAGAACAACTTTACTACAACAGCTAGGTGGTGTAGTGGATAAAGAACTGGGTTTGAAGTCAGTTAGACTCCTCTCCCAGACTTCAAATCCAGCCTCAGACTTACTAGCTCTGTGACTCTGCTCGAGCCACTTAACTCTGTTTGCCTCAGTTTCCTCATCTATAAAATAAGTTGGAGAAGGAAATGGCAAACCACTCCAGTATCTTTGCCAAGAAATTCCCAAATGGGGTGACGAAGAGTCAGACACTACTGAAATGACTCAACAACTACAATACTGACTTGTGAATGTCCACTGCTGAGGTTCAAATGATTGGTCGCACCACTCCATTACTAGCAGGGTCTACTCTCTCACCCCTCACTTCACTTGCCATCACCCTGTCACCTCTATCCTCTTGTAGTCAAATTTTCACTGTAATCTCCTAAATTCTTAAGAAAATTTGCAAATTTGTTATTTACCCTGGAGAAACCTTTTTAAATCAAGGAATTTGGAAAGCACATTTATACATACACTCACACCAAATTCATCTCAAATCTTGGTGGTTTTTTGTTTAACCATGTTTATTTTACAAAGGAGTTAAATGACTTGATTCAGGGTCACAAAATAAGTGAGTAGAAGTGGGGAATGAAGTTTCCTGTGGAGAGGTAGTAAATAGAAGGAAGTCTTGTATCCGAGCTGCAACATCAACTTATACTCACCAAAAGAGTTGATGTTGAAGTGCGCCCAGAAGATGATGATGACGAAAGTGTATTCTGTTGTGTAGATAATGTGCTAGAAAGATACAGAGAAAGTATTTTCAGTCAAAGGACCTCAGCCATCTCTTTCTTCTTGGGATGCTAAATCAGGCAAGGAGTCATGAAAAAAGGGGGTGGGTGGGGAACCAAAGGACCAGAAGGCAATCACTCTATTTGAAATGATCAGTAAAACAAGTGGTTGCTGGAAAATGAAGGAAATTCCTTTTTGCCTCCAAAGTTCTTAAGTCATCTGATTATAGCAAAGCCAGGGCTATAGCAACCTTTGCTAATAATAATAACAACAGCAACAATCAACGATTCATAGAATTTTAAGATTTACAAAACGTTTCACATAGACTATTCATTTAAGCTTAACAAGATCATTCTGCTAGTAGATGTTTGAGGCAGAATTTGAAACCCTTCTTGACTTCAAATCAAGTACTCCATATGCCACTCAGGTAGACCTTCTGTTAAGTATCAGCAAGGACCCCAGAGGGCTACAATGACCAGTAGCATCCCCATTTACTCACCTGCTGTGTTGGGTGGTGGTAGTATTTGGAAGCTCCTCACTGTGGCTCAAGCCACCCAATGCAGATGAATGCTGATTGGCTGTGGTCAGCAAGGAAGCTGCAGATACCGTGTCATTGAGAGGGGGGATGCTGGGAGCAGAGGGTGAGTCAGATTTCACCGCAGGGCCAGTAGCACCTAAAAAGAAAGGGGAAAGGAAAGGGAAATTACAATTTTAGAAGCCCTGCAGGGAAAGAGTAAAGATGTGACCACTATTCAAAGTTGCATCACCTATAAGCAAGTAAAATTATTAATTACTTATTATAATAAGTAATTATTAAGTCTACTTTGATTTCTATAGAATTGATTTTCTTTACAAAAAACCCAAATATTTGAAGTTATTATTTTCATTTCATTTAAAAAATAATTTTCCATCTCATTTTCATAAGGGAAGGGGGAAATCATGATATCCATTCCAAACAAAGAAACTAAAGCAAAGGGATGTTTAAGATTTGCTAAGATCAGTAAGTCAGAACAGAGGTAAGACTATAACTCTCTCCCAGTTGTTGGCTCAGAATTCTCTTCAGTAGACTATAATTTATCATCTAAGGCAACTGTTTGCAGATGTTTTACAATGGAAGAACCTTTCACTTTTAAAAGACTTACTTAGAACCCCTCCAGTAAAAATTTTAAAATATTTGTAAATATCTGTAACTATTATCAAATGATGTCGACTTTTAAAAACCTTTGATTCACATGTTGTTCTAAATCTATCAGCATTACAAACTGCTTTAGTGCAAAGGGTATATACAGCCTTTACCTACTGGTGTTTTGTAAATGAGAATATTGGACAGATTTAATAGCTTACCCTATAAAGATAATTAAATCTTTATTTCCTCATTTATTTTATATAAACAAAAATCTGGGAGTGGGGAGATAGAGATTATTTTGATTCATCACATTTCCACTTCGAAAAAGAGTTTTATAATTTTTACTGCAGTTTGTTGATCAATAAATGCCTTTACAACTTTGTCAGAGCTATTTTTATAAATTTTGTATCATTAATACATTGTGTGTCAGAATCACCATAAGCACAAATTGAATACAGCTGTCATATGTATATTTCTTTTATATCTGAACTGGGTTTGTGAATATTTGTTTTTACTGTCCCTCTTAGACACCTTCACTTTCTTCTCCCTTCAAATTCTTTAATCTTGTCTAATCACATTTTTTTTTGCACATAGTTTTAAAAAAACCATTAATAGAAATACATTCTAATCTTTTAAATTCCTTCTGCTAAAACCAATAATCAACTCATTATGTATTACATGTATTACATGGTACTACTGGATATGCTTAAAATCTGATTCTACATGAACAGAAACTTGATCCTTTTGATCCCAATGTTCTTCATCCTATCTAATGGTTTTCTATAATTATGGAGCATATACATACTGTATACAACTAACAGAGAGCAAAGCAGATGGGTTGTTTGATTTGCTGTGCCTGCCTGCGAATATAACTTTCTTTTTCACGGACATCTTTCCAATAACTTTGTGGAATCGAGTTTGAGAAATGCTGATTATACAGATACTAGAAAGTTCATAAAACAAAACACCTTTAATTAGAGAGAAAACTGAAGAACACTCACCTTCAACAGATTGTGTGTTCTGTAACTGTGTGGCCTGCACGGAGCTGAAGCCATTCTGGAGCAAGAAATAGAGACTCAAGTGAGGGAGGGCAGGTTAGCATTTGCCCAAGCTCAGCCTCTACCAGCAAGCCTTCTCTTCCAGAATTCAGGGGAAATTTACAGGTTAATCAAAGGATTAACACTCCCCACACCCAGATAAAGGAATTTGTGGGAGTCTTAGAAGGGAAGATGTATGTGCATTAGGGTACAGCAAGTGATGACCCCCTATCTACTAAGGAAGGCCAGAGCCCTAAAAAGATGCTGGAAAGACTCACAGAACCAGACCGTGATCCTTAGGGGGAATGTCTATGGAAGTAATGCAGTCCAGCCAAGCCATTAATTTGGCAGCCTGTAGATCTGGCAATCACTCCACATTTCCTCTTGCATACGCTGTCCCCCTCAACTGGCCACGAGGCAAAGCCAGATGAGGTCTACTGGTATGCACCTAGCACTCTAGCAATCAGATATCCCAATGAGATGGGGCAGGCCCTGGACTAGACACAAACCCTGCTCCATCAGCTGGGATCTTTACATTTATTCTTCCAGGGAGAATGATTCCTTGGTGCCAAGAGACCAGTCAGCTGGGCTTGGCCCAATCGCAGCAATGTGCTCTCCTTTCCTGCCTCTGCCCAGGTGCTCCCCAAGGACCCTCTGCAGCATTTGTAGCAAGGTGAAATGTTGAACCAAGGATTTTGTCCTCGTGTTCTCCCAACCACCTACCAGGGGCTGCTAAACAACCTACCTTTGCCTGAGTCAGGTCCTTCTGGGGAGACGAGGAGATGGAGTTGGGGTACCGCCGAGTCTGTGTGGATCTCTGTTCATAGAGCGGGCCCTGAGCACTGTTTTGGGAGGTATAGGTTGTCGACTGAATTGGGCCGCTCTGGTAGCCAGACTCCTGACTCTGGTTGGATGAAATTGTGGATGAAGACTCACTATGTGGGATGAACAGAGAAACACACAATCATGTGAGGAATAGGTCAAGCTTACTAATAAACAAGGGTTTTCAGGAAAGGCCCTACTAGGCTATAGGTCTAACTCAATCCCCATACAGAAATCCTGTAACACCAAGTTACCAAGTCTGAATCTCTACCATTTCCTCCTGGCAACTTTCAGGATACAACATGCGCCCATAATACCAGTGGCACAGGCAACAATATAGTTCAGAAAACCTGACTGCCAACTTTGATTAGAAGGCACAAAGGATTCGCCAAATGTAAAACTAAATAGGAGGGACCTTAAATGTCAAGAGTTCAAACTCCAAATCCATGTAGGAACCTCTACAACATTCAACACTGAATATCTGTAATAGGTAGTATTTATACAGCATTTTGTGGTTTGCAAAATTACACATATTATCCCATGTGATCTTTATAACTATACAAGGTAAGTGCTATTATTATCTTTATTTTACAAATGAGGAAATTGAAGCTAATAGAGGGTAAGTGACTTGTCCAGCATCACATAGCTAGATCACATAGCTATGATCTGAGTTTAAATCCATTCCATCAACTACAACACCAACCTGTAAAGTACTACAGTCTATATCAGGTTTGTAAATTCCCTGACAAGTAGTCATCCAGTTGAAATTTACCTCCCTCTTATTTATACCCATTTGGTCCTAATTCTGCCAAGCAGCAGCACTTTCGATATCAAACCACTTCCTGTTCTCCAATAGCTAAGTAACCAGAGAGAGATAAAATATCTATTTTGCCTCTCCACTCCTTCAGGAGGATCAGCTATTCCGGATCTTTAATTTTCTCCCATTTTAGGAGAAAAAAAAAAGCCACGAATATGAATGGGAATAGTGCTATATTCATAGTATGGGCAGCCCAATGAATATTTACATTTTGAGTCCTAAGCATCGTATTCACTCTCTATTATTCAACTTAAGCAAATTTAACCTCAGGACCAATTCTTGGGAACTGCGTTAATTCAACAAACATTTACTAATATAACTACGAGGGTCAATGAAAAGGTTTCCTTGAGATGATCTAGTTTCATTCTCTCATACTGCCCAATATTTTATTCAACTTCATTCCTCTCTTTAAGCCTTCAAAGTTTAATAGGCAAGTTATTGTTAATTACTTTGAAAGGGAGTCTTTTCACACCTGTGGAGTGAATGGCTACAGGTGGACAAGATCATGTAACTCCAAGGTTTTCTGTTACATATCCTAACCTTGGGAGCCACGGAAAAAAAGCCAAAAAAGAACCTACAGCTATTCATTAGTCATCCCTCACTCTAACAATATGACCCAACTCTTTTTCCAGATCTCTCTATTCACATCTTTTATGTCACTTACATTATGCAACTGTACTCACACCTACCCATACTTACCATGTACCTTACATTAGCCCCCTCCCAATACACACACTTAAAATACCACTTAAGTGGGGAAGAGAATAAGCATTTATATAACACTATCCAAGAGGCACTGTACTAAGTAAGAATCTTTTACAAATATTATCTCATTTGGTCCTCACAACAACCCTGCAAGGTAGGTGGTGTTATACAGATTTCATTACAGCTGAGGAAACAGAGGCAAACAAAGGGATTTGCCCAGGGTCACACAGCAAGTGTCTTGAGTCTGGATTTGAACTCAGGTCTTCATGATTCCAGGTGCAGGGTTCTATCCCTTGCACCACCAGCTGCCTCCAAAAAGCCAATGACAGCAAGTTTTTCAGATGTGTTGAAGCCTACACTTACATCATCTGCATTAAGTCTGAAGATTTACCAGAGGAGTCAAAAAGGCATATATTAATTACTACTCCCTTAAAAAATGACACGACCCTGATAGTGTTGATTTAAAGGAACACTAAACATAAGAACATCAACAATTAAAATGCAATTCTAAGATCTGAAAAAAAAAATCTACCTTCAACATCTCCCCTACCTGAAACAGATTTAGGCTAGTTTTGGAGTCTTAAAGTGACATAAACCTAAACCACAGAAAAGCAGGCAGCTCTGACTTGTACCTTGCAGTGCTCGTATAGAGACTGCTTGGAGTCTGACTTGACGAGGCGCTCGTGGTAGGAGTGGACTCATACTCTGAGAGGACAGGCTCTGACCCAAACTGTAATGCCCCAAACTGCAGGTTTAGCCCTGAGATATCCGCTGAGCCAGGCATCTCCACTGCCAGAGCAGGAATCTGTAGAAAGGAGACAATAGGAAGGAAGGTGTGAGTTTTAATGAAACCTTTCAACAGGTTCATAAAGTTAAACTACTCTATAACTTTTGAAGATTTCACAGTCACATACTAAATGTATGTAGCTGTTACTAAACTAAATAGATATGTAACTGTAAATCGGTCCACTCTTTCTTTCATCCAAGGATAAAAATGAAGATGATAATAGCTAATATGTTTACATAGCTCTTTAAGTGTTAATCTCATTTGATCCTAACCATAATCCTGTGAGGGCGATACTATTATTATCCCCATTTTTCAGATGAGGAAACTGAGGCTTTCAGAGATTAAGTAATTTGCCCAAGTACTGTCTGAGACCAGATTTAAACTCAAATCTTTCTGATTCTTTATTCCAGCGTTCTCTTCACTACACCCCCAGGTAGCTCCCACCACTCAATATAAACCAAAATACTAAAATAAGCACTTTTTATATTGTCAAAAAACTGTAAAAAGTAGATGCTTATCAACTGGGGAATGGCTAAATAAATTAGAGTACACAAATATAATCAAGTATTACTGTGCTGTTAATAAGCAAGGAATATGAAGAATACTGATAATTTTAGGAAGCTTTATAAGAAATACAAAATAAAGCGAACAGAATCAGAAAAATAATGTACACAAGGATTATAATATTGTAAATGGAGGAACTCCAAAGTGAATGCTGGAAAATGATGATAACCAAGCTTGGCTCCTAATTAGAGATAAAAGAATGCCATTCCCTCTCTTCTTTGCAGAGTTAGAGACCATGGTTATCGAGTACTGCATTTAATTTCAGAATTTTTTGATGTGTTGAGCATTTTGCTCAATTATTTTTCTCAGTTAGAAAGGATGGCTCTCTGAGAAAGGAAGAGGAGAGGGAGGGAAGATGCATTGGGAAATAAAGGCGATGTAAAAAATATTGATAAAAATTATCAAATGAAGGCAACAAGTTAGGGGTGTAACTAACTCCCCTATGACCTTGAACATGACTTGCCTTAAGTTACTGCCTGTATCTATCTTGACAGGCCCTCATAAAACTATGCCAGGTCCCACAGTCCAAAGTACCAAGAGATCAGGTACCTTCGAAGTCAAGGAGGCCTTTTTCTTTTGCTGCTTCAGTTTCTGCTGAGCCGGCTGGGGGCTGGAGGACTGGTTGTCTGAAGATCCCGGGGACATCTGTGGAGCTGAGGTGGACTTGCTCGGCAATGGAGAGGAAGGGGCCGGAGGTGCAGTTGTAGAGGTGGTCACTGCAGGTGGCTTTTCCTGCAGGAACACCTCCATCATGGCTGAAGATGGGGTGAAGGCCTGGCGTTTTGTGAATGGGCTGTGGACTGCTGAATCTGTTGGGTTCTTCAAATCTGTTTGGAGAAAAACAGATGTATATGTATGAGACCAAGCAAAGGGTACAGAATGAACTATGAGAAAACTCTGGTCTAAAGTCCTAGATTGTGCCTAAGGGATATCAGTACTCTCTCAATGCAGACCAAGAGGCTGGCTTCCTTCTGATTGACACTATCACCATTCCAGGGCAGAGATATAAACAGAGAAGCTCCTTGGGGCTGACTCTTTTGTCAAGTCATACCCCTGGTTCTGAACTCTCCAAAGTTGGAAATATCTGCTTTTCACAATCAACCCAGGTGAACCAGAAGAAACTTTGTGAAATCTCCTGGTCAATGCAGGGTCTCCAGACCAGGATATAGGAACCCATTCAATCAGATAAGAATTAAGATTTATAGCCTCATAAATTCCTGTGATTCCCCAACTGCCTGGGCTCAACTTATCCGGCCAGGGGAAGCTAATGTGGGAAATGAGTCATTTGGCTGCCCCTTTCATCACCCCACCATACATCTCTACCTACCCACTAGCAGCAACATTCCAACAATAAGGACTCTGACCTCCTGTCTTCCCTTACCATACTGCACCAGCGATGGGGATTGTGTTGTAGAGCCCATGTCCCAAGAGGAAGTGGTGGTGCTCCCACCCGACTGAGAGTGCTGAGCTGCCAACTGGGCCAAAGCCTGGGCTGTCTTGAACTGCTCCAAGAATTGGGAGCCTGTGGTGCTACCACCTTTAGCTTCGCCGACATCACCAAACCCCTTTCCTAGCATGCTCACCTGCAGATCAAGACAGAATCACAGAATTTCACTAAGGAATTCAAATGGAATTACTAGCTTAGAGTGACATAGGCCAGGTGAGTCAAGCCTATATTATACCTTCATACCTCCTGCAGGGAAAAATGTCAATGGCTGTTTTTATAAAACAACTAACTTGATTATCCATGACAATGAGGGACAAGAAAACCACAAATAATTGAAACATAGATAACCCAAAATATCATTTTAGCCAATAAAGCAAGACTCATTTCCACTTCTAGCTTTTCCACAAGAAGCCAAAGGACACCTTGGGAGTTTCTCCTCTCTGCCCATAAGTAGATGAGATGAAGAGACAAAGCCAAAAGGCTTTCACAAACCCTACACTGGATAAGTCAAATCTTATGGCTTCAGTAGCAGGTTTATGCCTTATCTGAGTTTTAAAAACAGAAAAGATGACTCAGTCCAAGTCCTATCAGCTGTCCAAGCTTATACTGCTGAATTTATTGTTTCCATGTCACCAATTTGTGGATGAAAGAACTAGCCTAATGATTATGCCCAGATAAAGCTACCTCAAACCCATTCCAGATCAATCAAGCTGTCTCATTTGTTCTAGAAAATCTGCAAAGAAGGGAATTTATCCCAATCTTCCTTTAGCACTTATCCACCACATCATAATGCCAGCAGTCTTCCTCACACCTAGAATTTATAAGACTGCAGCTCAGGTACAATTTCTCTTATTCTATCTCTATCTCTACCAGGAATAGCAAGAAAATAAATTACAGGAATTCGAGTGAAAGTTTCAGGATTACAGGTGACAATCTCATATCTCTAATGAATTATAAAGAACTTTTCTAGTACAAGGTACTTGACCAGGAGTGGAGAACCTGTGGCCTTGAGGTCATGAGTGCCCCACCCCTGTACTAGACAAATGCTTCATAATATTTCATTATCCAACATGACATATCACAATTAAGTGAAAATACTAGAATTCTAAAGTGATTTTTAAAACAAACCAATACTGAAACATAATTTATAAGAAATCAATTTAATTAACTCCAAAAGACTCACAGTGGAAAATGCTATCCACATCCAGAGAAAGAACTATGGAGTCTGAATGCAGATGGAAGCATACTATTTGCTCTCCTTTTCCTTTGTTGTTTTGTTTTATTGCTTCATTCTCATGGTTCCTCCCATTAGTTTTAATTGTTCTTTACATCACGATTAATGGGAAAATATGCTTAATAGGAATGTATAAGTAGAGCCTATATCAGATTGCATGCCATTTTGGGGAGTGGGGAGAGGGAAAAAATTTGAAACTCAAAATCTTATGGAAGTGAATGTTGAAAACCAAAAATAAATAATTTTTTTAAAAAAGTGCCACTGACCTCTTTTATTAATAAAATGCTAGCATTATTAATAAAATGACTGATTGCCCAGGAAAAAAAATCAATTTAATTCAATCAATATTTGAGCCCTTCATTACATGAGGTCCTGGAAATATAAAATAATAATAGATAAAATCAGAGATTTCGAGCTGGAATGGATTTATTTAGTTCAACCCCCTCATTTTACAGATGAGGAAAATTAGGTCCAAAGAACTGAAGCAAGTTGCCCCAGGTCAAACATATAGACAGTAAGAAGTAATGCCAGGATTTCTTCTGACTCCAGATCTAACCCTCATACCATACCACCTGTTGACCTCAAGGAATTGATAATCCAATTATGAATTAAACTTATAGTTCTTCTCTCGAGGAGGTTATGCAGCATGAAGCAATATGTAAAAATATTTCATAACCTGAACAAGGGAAGGAATCAAGCAAATCCTTAACCTAACACAAAACATGCAACATGTAGGGTATGAAGGTGAAGTTGCAGTAATGGGAAATATCATAGGTTAATACTATTAGGCATTTCTCTAGCATCGTATCTTTGGCAACAAGAAACCTAAGCCCTTTAGGATCAGAATGTAAAACAGTCTTAATTCCACATGCAGCAGGGTTCAGGCTCCAACCAAATTTCACAGCTCTAGCAAGTCCGAGGCTTCATTATACTAAGGTTTAGTGTGTGGGAACAAGATTAAGAAGGACTAGCTAATTTGATTTTGAATAAGATACTCAACCATGGTCCAGGATACCATCTTCTCCCTCCTAAATACCCTTTTGTAACAGTCTACTTCCATTCTGGAAAGAGTACTAGGGATCAGAAGAATTAAGACTCTAGCCCTAGCTCTATTAACTAGCTTTTTGACCTTGGGCAATTCATTAAACTTTGCTTCCATCTAATCACCTATAAAATGAAGTTGATAAACTAGATGATTTCCAAGGTACCTTTCAACACGAAGACTCTCTAAATCTTAATTCTCTTCTGGATTAAGACTTCCAGAATCATTTTTGTCTCAAGATGTGATGAACTTAACAAGAATAGTACCTGCTTCAGCCTCTGTCTAGCACAACGCATCATATTTTGGCTCAATTTAACTACCGTGGATTTTGGAACCAAGTCACGTGGTACAGTTTTTTTGTTGAAGGGTTTGGTTTATGGTAACAATGCAATTTCTGCCTCCATCATGAAAAAAGAAAGATTGTTGCCTATCAAACATTGTAATATTGTCAACCTCATAAACTAGAAAAAAAAGTGTTCACAATTTGATTTGAAGCAACCTCTTTCTCCTTCTTGAAGTTATCTAATACTGTGTTAACTCATTCAAACTTATTACAGGACCCTATTTGACCAGACACCAACTTTTTTCCTATAGCTAGTTCTATTCCACCATTTCTATACTCGAGTCACAGAAAAACAGACTAAAAACTTTTTAGCTTCTGACTACTTCTTGAAGGGGATGGAGCAGGAATTGGTGAAGATTTTCCCCTACTTACCATGCTGTGATGGGAGAAGGTGCTTCCTGATGCAGGCTGCGATATGGTGCTCTGCTTTGAGTTACTGAACACCAAAGGCTGGGCCAGGGAAGGAGCCTGAGATGGATCCATATTGGTTGACTCATTCTCCATTGAAGAAGGTGTCTTCCCTAGTAACACAGCAAGGTCGATCCTAGCAAAGAGAGGAATAGTATTTGAAGAACAATGGTTCTTCCAAGCACCCCCTAATAACTTTGATTCAGTTATAGCATCACAAGTGCTGAGAGGCAAATTAGATGACAAAACCCGAAGTTTTTCTTCTTCTATGTGGAATCCAACAATATAGAGGCAGCCCTCAGCAACCAGTATACTAAGTAAACATAAATATAACTATATCCAAGTGGCAGTTTGAAAGAATACTACTAATATGCCAGGTATAATGAATGCAAAGGTTTTCTAAAGCTTTGTTTTAGCATGAATTTGATAATTTAGTAGCTTAAGTCTTGGCTTGATATAGTAACTTGATAATTAGGGCTGAATTTGCTAAAATTCAGGAACTTCACCTGTAAGTTTGAAATTTGAATATGTCTCATCAACAATGTATAAAAATCTAAAACATGCATTTAATACAAAGCATTTTAAGAGAGATTCTTTCAAAAACTAAATTTTATACCACTTTGAAAGCCATTTCTGATAACATCATTACTAATATCCTACATTTGTCATCATCACTGGATAGCCATTACAAATGGAAAAAAAGAACACCAAATCCAATAGCTGACAGGATTGGTTCAAGAAACAATGAGGACTGCTGAACAGAAATGCCCCTCAGAATCTGATGGTTTGACCTTGGCTATTCTGGAGGATAGGGAATGACAACGGTCATTCAATATCCAAGAGGGGCCTAAATCCTATTAGACTGACCAAAGGGGCAGCTATATGGCACAGTGGATAGAGCTCCAGCCTTGGAGTCAGGAGGACCCGAGTTCAAATCTGGCCTCAGACACTTCACACTTACTAGCTTTGTGACCCTGAGCAAGTCACTTAACCCCGACTGCCCCCCCTACACACACACACACAAAGACTGACTAGATAAAAATCAGCATTGTAAATTAAGTAGATATCCTACTGAATTTTCAGAATTCAGAAGTGGATCTTCACCTGAATCCCAGTAAGGTATTTACTTTGCAAGAAATTAGGTTTATGGGCCAGGAACACTGAAGTTAAACTGGACTAAAAGCAGTTTCCAAAAAAAAAAAAAAATCAGAAGCACTAACACGTGGGAAAAATAGGAAAGGCCATGTGTAAAAGGTAGTAAATAAGCTAAGCTTTAAAGGGAGAGTTATGGATTCCAAAAGGCGTATGTGAAGAAGGAGAATATTCCTTGCAGTCAACCTGTACAAAGGCACAGAGAACAGGATAGTTATGTAAGAAGACAGTAAAGAGACATTTATCAGAGAATTGAGGTGAATCTAAGGCTAGAGTTTACATCTTAACAAAAGTGAGTGATTTTGGCTTATAGGACTAATATAACAATCACTTAAAACTGCTTATTAGAGGTTCCTAAAAGTATAGGAAAAAATAGAGACTTATTCAAAATTCATCCCCATAGTCACCTCAGACATACTAAGACAAAGTTTATTATACAATTTTCTTACCTCTGACCAGCAGTGATTGTCACATTTTCTGCAGGCAGGGGCACTGAAGACACATTAGAGGCAGTGAAGATCTTGGTCTCAGAAAGCTGGAACAGAGATAAAGGAATGAGTCACTACCAATTCCAAGTAGGCTGTATTCAATGAGATGCATGGAAAGAATAATTTAGCCTCAAAAAAAAAAAAAGAACCCTGTGCTGTCTACACCCTTGATAAACCAAACAACTTATTTCTTCAATAGATTTGAGGTACTCTGGTCTGGAATTAGGGAGAACAGATTAGACAGACATGCCTCATCCATACACATACACATACACACACACACACACACACATATACATACACATATACAGACTGTGATTTTATTCATAATAAACGTGAAGTCGGGGAACCCAACAGAATAAATGATCAAAGGTTCACAGGATCATAGATTTAGAGTTTCAAGGGGTAAGGGGGATAGAGGTACATCTAATCCAACAGAAGATGAAACTGGGACTGAGAGATAAAGTGAGAGGTGAAGCCACACAGAGAGTAAACAGCAGAACTGGGATTCAAACTCAGGTCCTTTTGACTCTAAACCCAACACTCTTTTCACTGTATCACACTGACCCCTCCATAAAGCCAAACAAGTAAAAGAACAGTGTCTACAATTGAAGAATTTGGCTTTTATCATTATGAGAATTTCTTTTAAAAATAGTAGATTTAATAAAATTTAATCAAAGGGGTAGAAATCCTTTTTTCAATATGATTGAACCAATGTTCCAAGCTTCTGGAAGACATAGGAGAATTTACTTAAATGTTCAGCCAATCTGCTCGGGTGACAGTCACTATCTGATGTTCAATATGCCTTGGAGAAAATACTTCAGGCCTGGCAACTAGTATTAAGGATGGTATTTGACACTGTCATTTCCTTGGTCATTCAGTCATCCATAGTGAAGACTTCACAAAGAATTGGAACATAAGGAAAAATTGCCAACAAAACAGGGACTCATTCTTAGAAATCAACCCTGAGGTTCAAAGCATGAAAATTTCAGTTCAGAGCAGGGATATAGTTATTTCAACTCAGGTAGCATTTACCTAAGCCATCCTAGAGATCTTCTTTTACATGTAACTTTACATAATTGCAAGTGGGGAAGGGATATGCTAATGGAGTCTAGCAACATTAAACACAAAATGAAAGGGACCATAAGATCAACTACATTATACACTTGAGGGTAAGGATTCATTATCATCCACCCTTCTACTTCCTTTGCATCTCACACACAGCCTCTTATGGAGTTATACAGGGAGTAAGTGCTTAAAGTGACTATAAAGTGTTGGTTATGCTGGGTCTCGGCAGTTGTTACATAAGTTAATACCACCAGAGTTCTGTTTCTAACATAATCCCCAGGACTTGTCACTTTCCTGGCAGTATGTCTTACAGTAAACTGCCATAGCCAGGCATGTATATATAGTTCCAAGGTATAGTTATGTGATAGAACCTATATCTGTATAGGCTCCTCGCCCAACCCCACCCAAGTGGCTTCCTTCAATCTTACTTATCCCTGAAGATGTCTTTACATGCCACTTGATATGTTCACGGGTCAACACCCCACAGTTATCCACAGGTTGCTAAGACCTGATTTAGACCATTAATGGTAAGTGGAGGTCTGGTCAACTTCTACCCCTGAGAATTCAGTTTAAGAAGACTTTTGGGAGCGCTTACATCTTCATTCCAATCTTCTGTACCCCATTCCTCTGTTGCAGTCCTCCATGCACCTAGAAGCAAAGCAAAGAATTGAGAAGAGACCTAAAACACTATGAGGTAAGACATACTTCAGAAACAACTCTAAAATGTTTTTCAGGCAAAAAACTGATAGGGATCTAGTAGTCAGAAAAGATTGCCAAGCACAAAATCATGGCCCAAACCCTCCCAAAGAGACATCTCTGAACATAAGATTTTACTAGGGTTATGGCTTCATACTCATCAACACGGCCTTTTACAATCAGTTCAGCACCAGCCACAAAAAAACCAACTATCCACCCCACCTCCCACAGGGCAACATCCTTTATAGCACTCAGCCCTCTGGCCTGGTGGAAATTACTAGGTCATACAGTAGGATGGTAACAGAAAACATAAGCAAGAGCATGCAACTAAGCTTACTTAACTGGGATAAAAAAAAAAAACCAAAAAACCAGGTGATCTGAAGAGAGATGGCAACACTGATTTAACAGCACAGATGGACTCAGTAAAAAATGGTTTTGATGATGGTTGATGACAAAGCAGTGAAGGAAGGATGGGAATCTAAATCTAGAGCAGTGAAGTAGAAGGTAGGGTACTGTAGTAAAATGGGCCAGACTTGGGAGTCAGAAGAGACCCGAGTTTATATCCTGGTTCCAAAACTTACTGTGACACCATGGTCACATGACCTTGATGAAGTTTCAGTTTCCTCATCTGTAAAATGGGGATATTACTTCAGATGATCTCCCTCACAGTGTAATGTGAGGAAAAAAGCTGTGCTAACTTTAAAATCCTATAGAAACATGAGCAATTATTACCTGCCATTTACTTAATTTCAAGGTAAGGACATGATTGGCTCAACTAGATACTAAAAATAAAAGATCTGATCCCTCTCAAAATCCACACTGCGGAAAGGTATATAACACCAAAGGCAGGACTAAAGGACACAACCTCTAACTCCTTCAATTGCAACAGGTTTATCTATTGAGTACGGAAGAGGGTTGGAGAGAAGGTAAACAGGTATATGGCAAAAAGACTTTATTTGTTGGTTCTGATTGTTTTTCTCTCAGTTTAACCTGGGAATCTCTGGCTCCATTTCATATACTGATGCCTCCCTAAGACTCACCCTATCTTTGTCTAATTTAAAAAAACAAACTCTAGTCTACTACAGTTTGGGGTAATGGGGTCTATGGGAGAAAAGACTGAAGCACAAGAAGATCCATTCCATAGAATATAGATATAGAATATCCCTCATCTCTAGTTCTATATATTTCTATCATCTTCTACTTCAATCTACTCTCGTAAGATTTTGGGGCAGTGTGAGGGTATTAAAAAATTAGGTGAACACTGCTCTACTCTTAAGACTTTCTTTGGCAACTAAACAATCATATGGTACCTGCCTGGTTAAGAGAAGGATGAACTCCCTCTCTCACTCTTTCCAAGGCCAATTCTCAGAGCACCTCCCTAACTTACACAACAGAGTTAGATTTCTCACAAAAGAGAATGATTCTTGATGGAACCAAGAGAGAAATAAAGCCTGTAGGCTCACATTTATTTTAGTCTCTGAAGCAAAGTATTTATGTGACACTTGCAACTTCCAACTCAATATCAACATAATAAAAAATTTGTTACTTTCAACAAGAAGATGTTTGGCACAATGATTTTTTTCAGCAACATCTTAAAACTCTCCAATAGGAGACCAGACATTCTTCAATCTGAGCAGAGATCCAACTCTAATCTACTCAAGCAGTAAACTATATCATATTCTCCCTCTGGAAACACAATTTTCTCCTTCCTTCCTCCTCTTCCTTCTCCTGCAAATTTCTATTCCAACCTGGGTCAAGCCAAAAGACTAGCTAGCAGGAAATTTCCTGGTGACTTTGGTGGGGAGGGAAGAATACAGGAACCTGACTGATATTGCTTCATATGAGCTGCAAAGTGATAGCTGAGGGTGGGTTTAGAATAGAACTGTGTAGAGAGGACTAAGGAACAGTGGGAGCTGAAATGCTTTTGATGACAAAGAATTATCACTTCCTTCCAATCAACAGAAAACACAGAAAGCAAACATCAAATATTCACTAAATTAAAAAAATCTGAGAGACAGACAGACGGAAACAGCAAGATATAAGAATGACATATCCACAGATATTTCAGTTTATAAAAAGCTATAAAAATAATATCCGGGGCAGTTAGGCGCCTGGATGTATCATACCAGGAGCAGTCTCAAATTTTCGGGGATAATTTGACCCCTCAACCCCCATGAAATCAAGTCCTGAAACAAAAAAGAAAAGAAAAGAAAAAACAACCAGTGAAATTTTGCTTATGAATGAGAACGTTTGCCCCCAGTACACAACTCCTACTGTACCTGTGGATATTTGGGGGTAGATTTTTTTCCCCTAATTTTAAATTAAGAAAAGATGTTGGAAGTTGCTTATATGGAAACACAAAAATGGATCATGCATGAGAGTATGTTCATATCATGAATTAACAATGATGGAAATGTATGAACCTATACCTGAAGCTTTAACAATAACAGGATGATTGATGGTATATCACACACAATTTCATTCAGTCAAAAATCATAAGATCTCAAACTCTAGTATCCCAAATCAGCCCCCCCACTTTCCCACTTTAGCATATAGGAAAATAGTCCTCAATCAGCCAGTTTCTTGTTGAAGATATATTTACTGTTTACAATCTAAGGCTAGGATCCTGAATTTAATTCCTCTTTCTAACTGAAAGCAAATTCCTATAAGCCTGCCCTTAGCTCTGTCAATCAAGACAGATTAAGACCAATGGGGCTAAATATCAAACTAATGTTCAAAAACATTAACTTCAACATTCATATTAAAAAGACCCAGACCAGACACCTCTACCTCCCAAAGAACCCAGATGAATGAAGAGCTGGCTACCCAAGAGTTGTCTACTCTACAACATGGAGTTAAAATAGGAACAGGACATTTGATGGCAGAATGGTCAGACATAAGGGGAATTCAAGGTATCTATCTGGCCAATAACAACTTTAGCCTCCGTTCAATGGGGTAGAGTGGACTCAGGAGACAGCAGTTCAGTACACGGAAAGAGCAAAGAAAAATTAAGGGAATATCTTTTGGATAAGAACTTTAGTTCAGGCCAAGAAGCCCCCAAAACTTTAGATATTATCTCCACCTAGATCTGAAGTGGATAGTAATGAATTTGTGGTTTTTCAAGGTGCTAGAATCCAAACATCCCTCATGACTAGAAAAATGATAACAGCCGGGGTTCCTGATGTTAAACAACTGCTCAACCAGGCAAAGGATACCTTCAAAAGTGGAAGGAACTCAGGGAGAACAAGGAGCCCAGATTATATTTAAAACAAGACACACAGGCGCACGCGCGGGCGCGCGCACGCACGCATACATACACACACACACACTCACTCCCTTCAAAAACAAAATAAAACAAAAACACATTTTGTTAGTGCCACACCAACTTAGCATCTGCTTTTACATTCACATCCACTCTGCAGGCAGGTACCAAAGCTGGCTCAGAAGAATATACATGTACCCTGGGTAAAGCCCCATAATGCTCCACCACCCAAGAGCATCTGCAGAAGAGAACTGGGAGTGCTGAGGACCTCTTCCTTGCCTGACTACCTCTATCAGACTCCCTGATGGAGAAAGGAGTGAGGCGGTTTTCAACCTTGTTACTAGAAAGCAAACTGGCAGTAGAGAGCTTTGGATTAGGGTCATCTCCTCTTCGGTAGACAGTAGTTTAAATAGGCCCTTCACTCTTCTCCAAGAACAGAAGTCCCAATGAATACTCTAATTCATTTTAGAAATCTAAATGGTGAATTCTAGAACCAATCCTATCACTCATCCCAAAATATTTTTTCTACATGTCTCTGTTACCCAAAAAGATTAGTACCCCAGATTCCCAAAGGGATTTGGGAATATAACATATAAAGGTTAACTCACTCGTCCCATCATCTGGCTCAAAACTGCCAGTATTGTTCCACGTATTGCCACTATTATTGCCATAGTTTTCATCGGTGTTGGTTGGTTCTGCATAATCAGCTGGGTTAAAGGTTCTAAAAGAGAGGAAACAAGACTTAAAAGATTCTCCAGTCTCTAAGAACTTCCACCAAATAGCACTATAATGAAGACAGTGAGACTCTTGAACCCTACTGTCCCCAAGTCCTGCACAGAATGGCCCCGCTTCACAAAACCCACTTGCTGTCTGTTGTTTTCTCACTGGCCTGCAATGTTTCATAGTAAAGCCTCAACTTCACACTTACTGCCTATTTAAACTAATATAGCACTATCCATCACAAAACTCCTATGGGATTTCAGATAAAAGTAGCAAACATCCGCATTCAAGTGAAGCTGCCAAGCAGGATTACAAGAGACAACCCAAGCAGCAACCACTGTATAAAGCAAAGAAGTAGCAGATCACATGCCCTTCCTCTTATTCATCTCAGGAATCTTCTGTGTGGGATTTGGGGTATAACTAGGAAGGAATATCTTTTGGTCTTATTTTGGGATTTCTTCAATTACTAGTCTAATCTAGAACGGGACAGTATATATTTAATTGCTTTAAGATATTACCATATCTTAATCAGTATGGCAACACCTAAAAGGAAAGAAGATAATTTATTTTCTAAACTTGTAGTCAATGAAACTTACCCCATGCCTTGGGCAGAAAATCGTCCTCCCCTCCTACCAGAGCCACCTAGAAATAAAACGAGAAAAAGTTTTAAAACATATACTCACGTCATAAAACTTACTGAGGCAGCCTTGGAAAAACAGATGCTGAGTGGATAGTTTAATAAAATGCTCTCTCTACAATTTCACGAAGAGGATCAGTTAATACGAGTCAGTCATTACTAATGACAAAGATCTCCTCTCCTGTCTAATCTATTACATACTCATTTAAGTACATTAATACCCACTACAAAAAACTGCTTTGATTGTATCCCTCACCCAAAACAACAACCCTCAGTTCTTGCAAAGAACTTCAAAAATGATGGCAAGGAGATCTCATCTCAACTCCTTTGAAAAAAAAAAATCTCTGCAAAATAAATTTCTTGCCCCCCAACCTAGCAAGATGCTCACCTCTGCCTCGTCCACGGCCCCTTCGGCCTCTTTCTGTGCCTCTTCCAGATGGGCCTCCAGTCTTAGCACCATCCAGTCCATTTTCCTGACCTCGAACTAAAATATAAAGATGCACAAACAAGTAATCACAACAGGGTCAACAGGACATATTCAGCATAAGAGAGGATTAACTAGAATATGAAAACAATCTTAATTTCTAGGGTATTTGGAGAAAGGTGGGTAGTTTTACAGATTTACACTGGCTAGAAACAAAAAATCGTACCCAATCCCACCGGGATTTAACCCACATGTGGATTAAATCATTACTACAAGTATTTATGGGATGGTCACAGGAGAATTTGGCAGCACAGATAGAAAAGAATTTATGCAAGGGAGACAAAGATCTTCATAAAAGGGAAGGTGATTAGGAGAAAGGAGGAGTGGTTTAAGACTTGAATCCTCCCCTTGGAGGACACTGCTATGTTCCTAAAGACTAAATCTCTTAATAGTAATTGACATTAATTATTAAGGTTTGCAAAGCATTTTATATACATTAACTTATTTGATCCTCACAACCTAATGAGATAGGTTTTATAGGTAAAAGGTATTCTCTCCATTTTACAGATTAGGAAACCAAGGTTTAAAGAGGTTACATGACTTGCTCGTTGTTCCATGACTACTAAATGTAAGAGGCAGGTACTGGACTCAGGTTTTCCTGACTCCAAGTCCAGCCCTCTATCCACTATACCATGCTGCCTTGGTAACTCAGTAGGTTTTAATAAAACCACATGCATACACTCTCGTCCACGACTGGCGCCTCTTCCCCGCCTTGGTGGTCCACCACGTCGCCTGCTATAATCCCTATCTCGGTCTCGATTCTCTTTGCCTTCCTCATTGGATTCCATCTGTCCGCCATCCTTCTGTCCGGAGACTCCCTTCTTTTTCCCAACCATTTCCCAGGAATGCTTAAAAAAAAGGTGGGGGGGGGAGAAGTTACTAGTCTGCAAGGCACAGACTATTCATAAGATATCTTAGACTATGCCTGAGAAGGCTAAGCATTTTCTCATCTTCTTTTCTCAATTTCAAGTTCTACGTATTCCCCCACATATCATCCTCCACACAGACGAAAACCGTAAACAAAGTTAAAAAAATGTCAAGTTACAGGCCAATAATCCTTAAGTATAGTTCTTCCTATAGGTGAAGCATCTATAGTTCCCAATCAGCTAAGACCATGTCCAAGACCATTTTCAAGATGTGTCCATCTACAATGCTTGGATGATCAACCAAGAGACCTTACTTGTCCTTCTCTCTCATATCTGTTTATTTTGAATTGAGCATCAATTGTTTTTGAGTTAGTATATCCCTCCAAAAGATCAAATATCCTATTCTAACCAACTGAAACAAAAAGGAGACTAAATGCTTAACTTGAGAAAATGTTTATTTTGTTTTGCTTTTTAGACTACTAATACAATTTTTAAAATAAGTTTTATTGATGTCTCTTGTTCTCATTATCAGTCATTTCTGGAAATACTTCTCTTTCCCATTGGTTGTTACTCAATTTTCCTTACAACAAAGAAAAATTGAAGCAAAAATTCCTGATTCAGAGACTGTGCCTGATGACATATATAACATTCTACCTTTGTAGAACCCACCTCTCAAGAAGAGGGGGAAATATATTTCATTATTTGTTCTAAAGGCCCATTATTAGTTTTTTAATGATTTAAAGTTTTTTAACTTAAATAAACTGTAGAGTTCAAACATTTACATAGTTGCAGAAACTGTATATATTCTTTTGGTTCTGCTTATTTCACACAAATCTGCCCAAGCTTCTCTCGATTCCTCATAATTGTCATTCCTTTCTGTACAATAATCTTTTGTTATATATTTACTGCAGTTTATTTGGCAATTTCGCCAATCAATGGATACCCACTGCTTCCAATTCTTCACTTAAAAAAAAAAAACCAACCTGAATATTTTGGAATACATTGGATCTTTGTTTTATCTGTGATTTATTTTATTTTATTTTAGGCAATTGGTGTTAAGTGACTTGCCCAGAGTCACACAGCTAGTAAGTGTTAAGTCTGAGGCCGGATTTTAACTCAGGTCCTCCTGACTTCAGGGCCAGTGCTCTATCCACTGTGTCACCTAACTGCCCCCAGTTTTGATTTCTTTCAAGTAAATGCCCAACCATGGAATTGCTTGGGCCAAGGGTATAAATAGTTTATTCACTTTTCTTTTTCCTCAGCTAAGGACACTAATTCAACCTCTAGTTTATAGTCAAAGGAATTTTCTCCTTTTTTTTTTTTGTGCTTTTTGGTGAGGCAATTGAGGTTAAGTGACTTGCCCAAGATCACACAGTTAGTAAGTGTCAAGTGTCTAAGGCCAGATTTGAACTCAGGTTCTCCTGACTCCAAGGCTGGAGCTCTATCCACTGTGCCACCTAGCTGCCCTTAGGAATTTTCTCAAAGAATGAAATTTAGATTTGAAGAAAAGACTTACAGCTCAGAAAATCAGCTAAATGATTTTGTAAACATAAACCTCAGATAAAGTAAACTTCTTAGAGATATTAAAAACCTCAAATTCAACACATCCTAGTTCACATAGTAATACTACATATTCAAAATCAGTCACAGACAAATACTTTAAAATAGCTGGGCAGGCAAAGGTTCCATTTCATAACCCAAGATAGTCAGGAGATAGCTCCCCAATCATTCCATTGAACCAAACAACAATGGCCATGATCCTCAGCAATTAACTAAACTATTAAAATAAAAAGTGTCCTTTCAAGAACAAATGTTCCATCCATAGTTCCTAAGTGTCATCTCATCTTCCAATCCAAGTTACCTCCCCGGACAGCACATTACAACAAGTGAGTCATTTTATGTTCAGGGTAGCTTCAATGGATCAGTAATTGCCCATGGTTAAATTGCTTCATTGTTACAAGAACCTTTAGAACACTGGAAATTAGATTCAAGTAAAACAAAACAACAGTAATGAATGACCACTGGATTTTCTGCTGATATTAAAGGGGAAAAGAGAAGACCATAACAGAAGTATCACCTCCCTCCTCTTTACTTGATGGCAGTGTCATCACTGCTGACATCTACACATAGGTCCTATAAAATAAAGGGTTGCTACAATTTTCTCAACATCACGTTAATCTGTTTGGATCTCAACTATCCAACCAAATTCAAAATCACTGCAAAATTATCTTGTTTCCCACTGATTTCATGAAGTAGTGATGAATCTATGGCCTAATTCCCTAGCTTCGGTCTTCCCTTGCATGATTATGGAAGGTTAGAAGTGCTAAGACAGATGTGTGAAAAAGATGGCGTGGGTTAAAAAGCATACCATAATTCATATCTGGGACCTCAAGCCAAAGGCCCTCATCTTCATAAAAATCTCGTAAACTCATGGCCTTAAAATTCAAACTCCTTCAAAATTAACCATTATTCACAAACACTTTGAGAAGAAAAAAAGCAGGGAGGGAAGGGGTGGGAGTAGTGTCTTCACTGGATATTTTTGTTCTTATAAGTCTTTTGCTTAAGAAAAATTAAGAGAATTTCTCATTTTATGCTAAATATTTGTCCTTCCCTCATTACCAAGATAAGGTCAGGAAAGCTACAAAACTTACTGTACCTCTTTCTTCATTAGAAATAGGTTCAAAAGATGAAACAGCACTGTGTGATCCTCAGTCAATGTTTATGGGAATGTACTGAGTTTAGAATGGTGCAAAGATTGTGACTTTGACTCTTCAGCAATGAAAATGACCAATCCAGTCTCATAATTAATAACTAAGAGTATCAAATGCTGCCTCTTACAATTCAAATATAGCCTTGAAAATAGTCACTAGCCTAGAATGAATTACAATTTATACTGAGCAAAGCAGAAAAGACACATTTTATCTGTTTACCTACCAGTGTTATCTCCTTAAAGGAGGGCTAACTGGTTAAAATAAAGGACACACCATATACTACACACACACATAATTAATCTTTTGCCACCTTTTAATATGGCTGTAATCTGCTGCAAACAAACTTCCAAGAAAGTTCCCTACTATCTGGGAGGATAATGCTTTATTGAAAGTATGCAACCCCATTTGGTATTATGCAGGGATCATATCTTCCAATGGCACCCAATACTACAATATCATAAGCTAAGCACCCTACCGTATCCGGGTTCCCCTCCAGCAGCACATTGATAGCTCTATTGACATCTCCATTGCAGTCATGCAATGCAATCACACATTCATCCTGGTTCTTGCCTGTGATATCAATCAGCTGCAAAGAGAAAGACTATAATCACCATGAGCCAGTTTGTATCTCTCATAAAAAGAAAATTGCGGGGCAGGAGAAGGGGAGGAATCAAGGAAAAAGAGAGATGGAACAAAGAGAAAATAAGTACCTTGAAAAGCAAACTAAATAACATTTTGAGGTTCTGTATCTAAAAGCAAAATATCATCAATACCAGGTTGGCTATTATGGTTGTACATAGGAGTTTATCTATACTAGCTTAAAACCAACTCGGTACCAAATAGAGAACAAATCCTCAACACACATTTATTAGTGAAAGACAGTATATGACAGAGCCCATTGAATCTGGCACTTTAGGGCCATTGGCATCATTGGTATTGGTATCATCATCATCATCATCACTAGTATTTATATGGCACTTTAAAGTTGCAAAGCACTTCACAAATATTTTATCCTCACAACAATTTTTGGGAAATAGCTATTATTGCCATTTCATGGATGGGTAAACTAAGGCAAGAGATAGGTTAAGTGATCTGTCTGGGGTCACACAACTAGTTAAGAATGCAACCATATTTGAACTTTGATCATCCGATTCCAGGTCTGGTGTTCTATCCAATGTGCCACCTACTGCCCCATTTAAATGTACTATATATCTTTGTATGTGCAAAAATATAAGAAGTGCCACAATAGTTTGAAGTTGATATGGAATATACATCAACATTTATTCAACAATTAACTGGAAAATAAAGGTCAGTATACAATACAATACAGAATATACCTGCCCAAAGGAGTAAGAAAGAAATTCAGACTAGGGGGAAAACTTGTTTCTTGGCTAAGGTCAGTGACATTTCAGGCTATAAACATGTATAAATGACATAATCCTTCCAATGTCCCTGGAAGAGTCAGCATCTTGAGCTATGCAGGAGGCATGTATGGTTACTTGATAGCAATACTTCCACCCATCACCCTCCCCTTAAAAACAAAACAAAACAAAACAATAAATCGGTATACTCACTTGCTTCACCTTCTCCTCAAAGTCAGCATCATTGTGGTCCGATATCATCTGTGCAAGTCTTATCTGTTCTGCAGTAGCCTATGAGTTGAGATGGAAATCAGGAAAGTATGATCAGGAGAGTACAATGAGAAACAGTGAGGACAGTGCTGTGCAAAATAATTTCAAATCTCTTTCCTTTTCCTTTAGAAATTCCTTTTCCCCTTACAAATGATAGGGCACCAAGGGCTCTAAGACCATCTGACAGTACTTTACAGTTTACAAGGTATTTTCACATATACATTTCATGCTATTTCATTTGATCCTCATAACGACCCTCTAAGGTAGATAGGGCAGGTATTATTATCCCCATTTTACAGATAAGCAAACTGTGGCTCAGAAATGTTAACTGGCCTGTCCAGAGACATAAAAAAAAAGTAGCAGGATTAAGATTTAGCATTCAATTCCAAGTCTTCTGAATTTTAGTGCTCATTCTGTTCATGCTGACATTGAAGCAGCAGTGAACACTGAATAGAGGACTTAAAGAGGGAGAAGTAGCCATTAATACAGTTCTTATAATATCCAGTCATTTCACTAAAAAGAGGAAGCTGCTTATGTTTAGCAGAGTTTTCCCCTTAGCAGCAAAAGTTTCCAAAATGCTACACTCAAAGTGACTTGGTCACAATTCTAAATGTATGCTCAATTGTAATTTTTATTAGAAAAGCCCACCCAATTTCCAAGGTTGCCTTTTTGCTTCTAAGGCTAGAAATATCTTAAGAACAGCAGGTATGGCCTGAGGATAGAAACAATCTTCCTACTGAATGACCATTACAAGAATATAAGGTACTTAGGACCATGACGACTTGCTTGATAACAAACTTAATGGGCACCAGACTCCATTTGCTGGGAACAATCCTGAGAATAGTTGTGAAAAAGAAAAAGTAAAGGGAAGTCTCTCTGAGCAAAAGTCTCCCCCCACCAAATAATGGAATACAATTCATTTATTCACATTAATAACCAAATATGAATTATTTACTCACAATAGGGACCAATCAACAACCAATTGGCTATAAAAAATAGATCTACATCAACCTTCAAAAGAACCTACAAAGTTTGGTTGCCAGATGGTTAATTTTCCCTTTTAAACCTGTAACTGAACAATGCCTATGAGTATCTTACTGGACAATTTTTGAAAACTAAAAAACAAACAAACAAAAAAAAAAACACCAAGCCCAGGGAAGAGGCTAAGTCCAGATGTGAAGGGAAACACAGATAAAACTTCCAAAGGCCCCAAAGGAACAAGACAAAAGAGAAAGAAAAGATCAGACCCAGAAGCAGGGAAATGGCTAGCCATACATAGGCTAAAGAGTGGAGTCACAGTGAAAAATCTAAGAAATTAGGAAGATACTATACTAGAGGGCCAGAAAAGGAAAAGAAGTGCTATTACCAAATTGTAGCCATAGGGGGTCTAAAAAACAAAAGTCACATAATCCCTTTTCTCAAAGCCTCACACAGCAACATGAAACAGCAAAAGAAAAAAAAGGCAGTTTTTTCTAACAGCACAAAGAAAGCATCCAGGGAGAATAAGAGACCTAAGATCTAATTCTGAAAAACAGAATACAGAAAGAAAACTCAAATCACAGAATAAAGCTGTGCTGGATGTAAAGCTTTATCAGCCATTTGGGTTGCCTAAACTCTACTTTCTCTCAAATTTCTTTACCTGTGGCCTCTGCTTGTGCTGTGTCTGGTTCTGTGTCTGTGTCTGCTCCCAGTTTCCCCGGGCTCGGTTAGTGCCCACTGATGTCATCATTTACAGTATATACAAATAACAGTATTTACAAGGTAGAATGCTGGAAAAAAAAAGTTTCTTATTAGAGATCAAATATGATCAAAATATATTTACCACTCACTGTCCTCACTCCCCTTTAAAAAAAATTTTTTTTTAAATCATTCGTCTCTAGGCACAGCAAACCAAGAGAATGTATCTGCTTTTAGGGAAACATCATATTTAGATTTATAAGCTTCTTAAGGCCTTGGTTTTTAACCCGCTTTGTAAAGCACAGTGTATTGTATTTATTATTGGCTTGATGATGGGCAGTCACATAAAAAGTACAGAAAAGTTACCAGCTCATTCCAGTTCTACTAGTCCTTAGCAAGTGGGGCCATCTTTAAGTCTACACAACATGCTGATTAAAACACACACACACATACACACACACACACACACACACACTCCCTAAGACTCAAAACCCCTTCAAACAAAGAGTCTGCTCAATTACCTTTACGTTATAGAATTATCAAAAAGTACGAGTAGAGGTCTTCTATGAAGGGGATCACTAAGCCACACGCACAACAAGAAAATCAGTTCAAAGTATCCCTACCTAAAAAAATACATAACCTCTACCTCTGAAATCCAGGCTCTATCTCTAATACTCTCACCTCCTTTAAATTTTTATCTGTATACATGATGTGCAGGCTTCTTTTTTTTTAAACTAGAGCCTTCCAAAAGAGACATATTAACTCCAATGACTTTGCCTGGAATCTCAGCTCCCCCAGCAATCCTTGTTCCCTGTCTTTGCAGTGGCTTCTCCACCTAACCTGCTGGTCAACAAACCCCAAACTCTTAGGGTTCACAACTGCCATTATTATCTGCCACAGCTCTTCTGAAGTCGAATATCCGAGAACTGCAGAATTAGCCAAAGCCCAAAGCACCCAACACAATGTCTTACTTGTAAGGGGAAGGAAGCATTATAAAGTCATCTCATGACTGCACTGATAGAATACTATATGGGAAGTTCACCCTAGCCTGAATATAAACTTAACTCTAACTACTCTAACAAGAAACAGTACAACTGGAGTACCACACATGCCTTCAGCTTAAACGCAACCTCAGCTGCTGTTTTTAGTTTAAAAAACAAAAACAAAACCTTTCTTTTGCCAGTGGTAGGCAAAAGGAGAGCAGGATATTTTACCACTAATTTATTCTCTTTCAAAGGTGCTCACTTTTCTAATAAGTTTGGAAAAATCTGACCCAAATAATTTTTGGCTAATGGAAATTTATTAATTAATTAGTCAATTCTGGGCTCCTTGTAATTGACACAATATGGCCACAAATAGGATGCTGAATTTGGTAAGGAGGTTTTGATATTTCACCTCTTTCATTTTCTTGGATAGTCCACAGAAAGATACTTGAATTGCTAATAAAAACAATTTATTTGGGATAAGTTCTTTACAAATTTGTGACACTATGGTTACATACATCCTTGTTTATTACAATGTCATTAAAAGTTTCATTTTCTTCCATTTCCAAAAAGTAGTTAAGCCTTTACGGAACATTTTAAGGGAGAGTCAGATACCAATTTTAACAACAAAAAACATACAAATATGTCAAGGGAGAACAGGCTATATGCTACACAGTAGTCTATCTGTCTAGGCTGGAATCATAGTCAAGTTTTAACATTTCATCTACAAAAATACAAACATCATTTAGCTAACCACCACTGCATCCAAACCAGCAGTGGAGATAAAGCAATGTCAAGACAAGAACAAAAGTATTCATATTGGTTATATTTTAAAATTGCCTACTCTGGGGTTTCTAATTTAATATGAGTTGGCACTTCCCATCTCAACCTACAATTTCTAAATGTTGACTTCCTTCCACCACACATTTGATTTCAATTTGAAAGGATGAGTTAGGAGACCATATGCTAGCTACACAATTATATTGCATAGCTACAGCTATTTGCACAATTGTCTGGACCTTAATTCTGTTTGGAACACTTAATGGAAAAACACTACCAATCATTTAAGACATTCTTTTGATCACTAGTGACTGAATTCCCTTATCTCTCTTACAAATGCTTGGTAAAATGTGATTGAGACAACTTGCAAAACAGTGAGCAAGGTCAGCAGGAAGCAACTGATCTAAAAGATTACTTGGAACACAGACTCGGTACCTTCTAGTAGTGGGCAGGCAAATACATCCACAGTTGGCAGGGAACAAGAGAACCATCTTACATACTACCTTCCTTAAAGTATAAGGATGTGCTGATGGGGAGGGAAAAGGAGAAATCTCAAATTAATTACTAAAGCTTAAAGGAACACAACATGATAGTAGGTAGAGTGCAGTTTCAAAAGGAGCTATCAGACCTTCTTGGAAAAACCAACAACTTAAAAAACAGCCATTGAGAGGTTAAAAAATATTTTACTGAAATCAATCGATCAACAAACATTTATTTGCATACCTATATGTGCAGTACCATGGGGTATACAAAAGTAGAATGAGACATGGTCCCTGCCCTCAAGCTTACAATCTAATTGGAAATACAAAATGCAATTAGAAAATAAGTGCTATGAGTGCACTAAACTAAGCACAACAATTCAGAGAAGACCACACAAGAGCCTGGCAGATACATCTTTTTGCTTCTAATGTCAACTCTAATTCGTAAGTAGCTTTAGTAAGTTGACCACCTGGCTATATGTTCTCCCCACATCCAATCCCACTCTGACAAGACAAAATATCTCCCCATAAAGGTATGCTTGGTACACCTTTAAAAACAAAGAACTTGTTTCTATAACCTTTTTACTAGTCCACAAAACTCAGCTAATTAGAAATAGAACTCCTGTCTGCTGTGGAAGTAATCAATCCCACTGAAAGGTTTGGGTCATTTAAAATCAGGGACCTAAACTATTCAACAGGGTAGCTATTAGGATGCCAAACATTTTAATTCTGTAGTAATGAAGAGTTTCAATCGGGGCTGAATATATTGCAGCACAAGCACATCACGTTTCCCAAGCCAGGATATAAGAAGGAAAAAGGCCCCACTAGCTTTATGAAGCTAATAGTAAAGGATATACTAAGGCAAAAAACTGCCTGTTACTGTGGTCGTTTTCTTTTCCTAACATCCCACCAAAGAGGTGGCTGTTTCAGGCAGTTTGTTATGGCATCAGTTTACAAAGCAATCTGGGTACTCTCCACAATGTGAAAGAATTCGATAAATTTGGAATTTGTGCCCCATTATGGGAAATGCTTTGCACGTAGTACGGACTAATGAACAGTTCTTGAACTCAATTGAGAACACAGTGATAAAGACAGCCGGTGCTCCAGGGCAATATACCCAAGGGGCTTGCAGCAGGGAGGTCAAGCTCCCCCACATGCTTTTTATTGTTGAAAGTACCCAAGGCTCCACTGGGCAAAGATTAAAGGTATTAATTAAAATACCTCCAAAAATCCAGAAGAGGAGATAAAGTGAGAAGAACTAGAGCAGCTGACAAAGGGGCTAGGAGTGGAGAAGAAACAGGGCGGAGGGCCGACGAGTAGAGATTCAGTTCCAGAAATACAAGGGTAGCCGGCAGGACCAATCGCCCACCTCTCCCCAAAAGATTAATTCTTTGCACTCAAATTTAATAGCCCATACGGAAATAAACCAAGGGGCGTGGGCAACTTCGTCCCACCGCTCCCCTGATCTCTCCGTGCTCAAACCCAGGCCGAGTCCTAGCTCGGGTGAGGGAAGGCCCCGAGGAGGTCCTAAGGCTGGAGGGGGAGAATGCCGCGGCCTCCTCCCCCCACCCCCGCCCCGACCTTCTCCTTAGGCACAGGGTTATAAAAAGAGAGGAAGGGGGAGCCCTACCTCAGGCCCGGCCCAGACCGCGCTCACTCCCTCGCGCTCCACTCCCCCAGGCCCGAGCCGCATGGCCCCCCCCGGCCACCACGCGCCCCGCCCGGCCACGCTCCCAAATCTAGGCCCCGGCTCCGGCGCGGCCCAGTAGGCCGCAAGCCCGACCATAAACAAAACCCCGGCGGCTGGCCCAGAGTGGCGGGGGTGGGGGAGATGGGGGAGCCTGGGGCCCGCGCGACTGGAGGGGGGGGGCACAGCGCGCGGAAGGGGGAGGGGAAGCCCGCACCGCGCGAGGTAGGGGGGGCGGCTGGTGGGAGAAGGGGCCACGGCGGGAGGAGAGAAAGGGTGAAGGGGGAATCGCGGATTTAAAGGGGCCGCGGACAATACCCGGCCCCGCCGCGCTGCCGCTACCGCCGCCGCCGCCGCCGCCGCCGCCGCGCTCCCAACTTTACCTCAGTCTCCTCCACACTGACACCCCGGGCCGCGCCGCCCCTGTCACGTGATATAGACTCCCTCTTCTCTCTCCACCCCCCCCCCCTTTTTCCTCTCGAGCTCGCTCTCGCGCCTTTCCCCTCCCACTCTCCTTCCTTCCTCCCTCAGCACGTGACACGCAAAGAGGCGCGCGCCCGTCGTCCTGCCACGAGCCACCTTCTCTGGATCCGTGAGTCCGCCTCCTCCGGTCACATGATCTACCCATGACCTCCTTTTCCTCCCTGCCGCGGAGTCCCGCCTTCCTCGCACGCGCTTTCTCCTTCCACCTTGCCGGTGTCACGTGCCAAGGGAGAGGAGGAACTCGTCACGCTTCTCTCCGCCCTCTTTCCCTTTCCCTCCTCAGTTCCGCCCTCCCCCCACCAGTTCCCCGCGCTCCCCTGGCCGCCATGTTTTCCAACAGGGCCCGGCTTTGGCTTCCCCCATAAGGAAATGGCCAAGGAACACCAAGGAGCCCTAGGGCCATCGCTACTACGGAGCCCGAGCTAACGAAGCTTGAAGGAGGCCATGGCGTCCAGCAGTAACTGGTTGTCCGGGGTGAACGTCGTGCTGGTGATGGCCTACGGGAGCTTGGTGAGGAGACGAACCCCTCCCCCCACTCCCGGGGCCAGCCCCAAGGCCAGCCAACCACGCCTTCCCGGCTCCGCGCCCACCCCAGCTCCCCTCGTGCGGGCTCCCCCAGCCTGCTGACCCGCCCCCCCGGGGGGAGGGCCCAAGTGTGCTTCCCCGGACCCCCGAATTGGGGGTGGGGGTGGGGAGCAGCGGGATCTCCCGGAGCCCCCCTCCAGGCGGCTTCTAGCCCGTCTTTCCCGCCAGGTATTTGTGCTGCTGTTCATTTTTGTGAAGAGGCAGATCATGCGTTTTGCTATGAAGTCTCGAAGAGGCCCCCATGTCCCTGTGGGACACAATGCTCCCAAGGTGGGTGTCTAGAAATTCTCGAAATTCGTAATCAGTAGCTTTGTTTAAGTGGAGTGGTAGGATTTTCTCATCTCTGGGGTATATCTTTTAATCTACTTATGGTCTATCTACATCCTTTAATTTGGGTTTGGGGAAAGAACACGGTGTTAGGAATGATGATCCCCTGTTGATTGATTACTGTCGGTTAGTGTCTTCTGATTCTTCCCGCTGTGATTCATTGCCTGAATGCCAGTGCTGAGTGATTCTAGAGGGTTTGAGTCTCTGGGTGTTGGAGAACTCTAGTCCCACTTCTTCTTGGGTGCTTTTCTGCCACATACCAGTAGTCAAAAGGATTTTTATTTGCTTCCTGTTCCTGATTCAGTTGTTTATGCCCATCCCCAGAGTTTACTTCATTTCCAAGTTGGTGAGAGGTAGAGAATAAGCTAATCCATGAGGGGATACATATTCTAAGATGATAGCTCTTTTTTTCTCTCCATGGGAGCAGGATCTGAAGGAAGAGATTGACATCCGACTATCCAAGGTCCAGGATGTAAAGTATGAACCCCAGCTTCTTGAAGAGGATGATGCCAGACTTTTGCAGCTGGAGACACCAGGAAATCAACGTATGGGGCGAGTTTTCCACCTTGGGGATGGGTAAATTTGGAAAGCCAAGGGTTCAGAGTTTTTGGGAGCTGAGAGAGAAATATGGAGATGCTCAGAAACCATAATTTTAGTTATTTTCTGTATAGCTAATCTGAGAAAGCAAGCTTAGTAGTGAAAGGGTTGTCATATAAGGGAGGTGGGAGTGGTATTACTGATTCCAGCCATTATCCTTACAGATTGCTACAACTACCTGTACAGGATGAAAGCATTGGATGCCATTCGTGCCTCTGGTAAGAGTCGGTCAGGTATGGGAAGGTCTCTTCAGGAATTTTGATTCTCCAGATAGAGAAGAAACTTATGACCTACATCATGGGGATAAGAATAAATTCGGCTTCTACTTAATCAGGCATACCTGTGTTAGGAACTCCCTTGAATCTAAAGAATCTGTTTCCTCCTCTTGAGGAACTGAGTTGATAAGGAAATGAATTCTCCTTTGAGATATTTTGCCAGTGATTCCCTAGCTTTTGAATGGGAAGGATGGGAGCAGGGAAAATAGTTTACTGAATTCTTAAAAGGCATGAAAGATCCAATTCTGTTTCAGCTCAAATTAGGAAAGGGCTGGTTAGATGGCCCAATGTATAGACTGCTGGACCTGGAGTCAGGAAAACCTGAGTTAAAATCCACCCTCAAATACTTACTGTGATCCCAAGCAAGTCACTTAACCTCTCTTAGCCTTAGTTTCTTCTGTAAAATGGGAATACTATACCTCTTTGGGTGGTTGTGAAGATCAAATGTTATATTTGTAAACCTCTTTGCAAAACTTAGATGTATCTAAATGCTAGTTGTTAATATTGTTATTTGTTAACTTGTACATTCTATGACTTTTAAGGATTTGTACAATGCTATTTCTAGAAAAGAATAAACATCTAGTCTTAGCATTTATTTTACAGATAAGGAAACTTGTACTTAGAAATGTAAAGTGACTTTATAAAGGTCATAGGCTAGCTAATGTGTGGTAAAACCTGAGTCTCTTGACTCATACCCTATTACTCAACCATCGTCTTAGCTGCCTTCTTTGATAGAAGCACATGGTCCCTAGGAAAAGCATTCCCTAAGTTTGGACAGTCCCAGCCTGGAACCTATCCTTTTGCAAAGGAAGGCGTTGTCCTAGAGTTCAGAAGTAGACAATCCAGAGGGGGGGAGAACAGATATTCCAAAGCATTAGGTTTCAGGCCCTAACTTGAATTCTGTCTTCTTTGAGACTAAGTCTTGCATTCCCCATATCTAATCAAGCTGAAAGGTGATCACAAGAGCAGGTATAGGAAGAAATAGTTGGAGCCAAAGCTGTAGCATGTTTATCCATATATACCCACATTTTAAAAATGCTCATAGAATCTAAAAGGGCAGGAAATAGATAAATAAAGGGCCACATAATCTACCATTTGTTACCATTACCAAACAGTTGTTGAGGACTGGATGTCTGGTTTCTGTTGCTCCCTCCAAAATTTCCTAATTTGAAGAATTGATCAAGATTACTTGGAAATAATTAGCAGGGAATTTCTTGACCAGAAATGCATGAAAAATATTTTCATCTTGTCCTTCATGATCTCTTCAGAGATCCCATTCCATTCAGAAGGCCGGCATCCTCGTTCCCTAATGGGCAAGAACTTCCGCTCCTATCTGCTGGAGCTTCGAAACACAAGTACCCCCTTCAAGGGTGTCCGAAAAGCTCTCATTGATACCCTGCTGGACGGCTATGAGACAGCTAGATATGGAACTGGTGTAAGTCAGTTGATCTTTTTGCTGCATATAGATTTTTTATTTCATGTGGGAATGGTAGAGAACAGAGCTTAAAAGATCCTCATTCTCTTTTTTTCTCCTCAGGTCTTTGGCCAGACTGAATATCTACACTACCAAGAAGCACTGAGTGAACTGGCTGCAGCGTGAGTTTTGGTAAAACGTGTCAATGTGGGACTGGTTGTGGGTTTCTTTCTTTTTTTTTTTTCTTCTAATATATATTAGAGTACCAAACAGTACTGGACTGACACTAGGGTGGGACCATCACCAGAAAATAAAGCAGGCAAAGTGTCTGTGATGCCAGGCAACTCAAGAGTTGTATTTTTATATACAGCTTACATTTTTATGTATTTTTACATACAACTTAGAAGACACCTTAGAGCTAAGATTGAAACCTAGGTCTTCCCATTTCCAAAATCAGTGTTTTTCTGTTACTCCAAACTGCTCCTCTGTTCCTTCCATCTCAGAGTAAAAGCTATTTTGCAAGCTAAGGAAAAATTCCTTCAACCCTGGCACACAAACCTTTGTTTGAATCCAGTCCAGTAGAATTCCTTATCCCCTAGGACCCTTACTATTATTGCGGTGTCCTTTTTAGTCTTATAATAGTAACAACTTAAGTAGCAGCTATCCTTAGTGTCTCATCTGGCAGTAGCAACCCCATTAGACCCACCAGACAAAAACATTGTAGTTAAGCTTTGATTACACTAAGAGAAAGGAACCCCAAAGTTTGGTTGATCCTTCTTGACTGGTTTGGAATATGTTGCTTCCCCTAGACACCCTAGATTTAGTTTCGTTATGTTAGGCTTGTGCAAGCATTCAAATGAGAGATTCTGGGTAGTAAGGGTAAACTATTCTCAAATTTTTAATTAGCATTGATAATGTAGAGTTAATTATATAGAGAAATACATTCTATTCCCTTCTGTCTTAAGATTTAATTTGGGTCTTTCTTAAAGGAAAGAAAGGGTTTGTATATCTCCTACCTCCTCTCTTTTTTGCCTCTTGAAAAGAATTGTTTTATTCTTTAAAAGCATATAAAAGAACACTTAGAGCTGTCAGAAAAATAAAACAGCAAGATCTGATTGAAATCAAGTAGCAAGTCTTGTAGAAGTCAGCAAAACCTGAGTTAAAATTCACCCTCACTTTTTCCTGAGCTGTATCTGTAAAGTGAAGGAAATGGTTAAGAATTTAGATGATCTAAAGATATCTGTTAGGCCCTCAGTCCATAAATATTAATTAAGTGCTTACTGTGTGCCAGTCATTGCTAAGTACTAGAAAGGCAATACAAAGACAGAAGTGGAACAGTGCCCCCAAAGAGCTTACATTCCAAAGGAGAGACAGCATTTACCTACAAAATATAGACAAAACCAGCTTAGAACCAACCACTCCCTTCCCTTTTAAATCATAAGGTTTCAAGCATTCTACCTTTCCACATTCCTCTCCCCTCCATTTACTCTATGGTCCATCCAGACTCAACTTGTGGTTCCTGAATGACACTTCCCAAGTTTGTGCCTCGTTAGCTGTTGCCAAGGGTAGAATGCTCTCCTTCCCTGCTCTTCTTAGAATTTCTGGTTTCCTTCAAAACTCAGCTTAAGTACCACCTTCTTTCTATTAGAAGCTTTTCTAGATGCCTCCAAGCTGCCAGCCCCCTCCTTCCCAAAACTATCTTACATTTTGTCCATATTCTATAGGTAAATGCTATCTCTCCTTAGGAATGCCTCTGCCAGATGCTCTTTCTCAAAATGAAATTGAATTTTAGCAGAGAGTGAGAGTGAGAGA